GGGCCCCCGGGGCGCGGAGGCCGGGGCTAGCCAGACAGGGACACAGAAGCTACTATCCACTCAGCTTGGTGGCAGGTCAGCGGGCCCAGCATTTCCGCAGGACGACTCGAATGGGGACAGTGTGCAGCCATGGACATGGGCCTGCCCCCCAAGTGCCTCTCCAAACACGTCCAGTGAGGGGCAAACACAGGCGTGTGGCCAGGCCATGTGCCTGCCTGCTCAGAGCTGGCCCCAGGGCCGGGATGTGCCCCAGGCTATGGAGCATCACTGCCACACCTGGAGAGCCCGTGACATGCCAGCGTCCTGACACTCGAATGAGGACTTGAGACTCCTGGGGAATGGAAACGAAGTAGCGTTTGTTCTGGTGCAAAGGAGACCCTCGACACCTGCGCAGTCCTGCTCACGTCTCCCACTAAAACGGCATCTGAAGAGCCTCCTGCTTTAGCTTAACAGCACGACTGTCCGCACAGGGGCATGTGGGTTTAAAGAAAGGATAGGAAGGGACAGCCTGTTGGGCAGTCCTGGCTGCAGGTGCCAGAGGCCAGCTCACACAGCGTCCTGGTCTTCCTGCCCTGTCTACAGGGACTGTCTGTAACCCACCATCAGCAGGGAGTGCCTGGGCAGGGCGGCCAAAGCCCGGGGCCCAGCCCACCTGTCGAAGATGGCGCCCACCCCCGCGCTGTGGGCGCTGTTCCGGTGGACGTGCAGCCCGGTGGCCAGCAGGATCCCGTCCTTCACGGCGATGGACCGGTGTGAGAAGGAGGCGATGAGCAGCTCGTTCCAGCCTAGGGAGGGGGCATGGTCACTCAGCCGTCTCCAGGCCTGCCACCCTACCCCAGGCCCCAAAGCCCCGTGTCACAGACCCGCCCTCGGAGAACCTGAGCCAGCGTTCTCAAAGTGGGCTCTGTGGAACCCTAACCCCATGCAGTGTTCCACAGAAGAGGTTCCTGAGCACACAAGTCTGGGAAGCACTGAGCAAGCTGGCCCAGCCAGGCCTCGTGCAGGGCCTTCCTGACAGCTGGCCGGGCCCAGGCACTCGCCGACCCACAGAAGCCACTTTGTGCTCACTGCTGGTCTGGTCCCAGCAGTGAACCCTCCCAGACCAACGTGTCGCATGAAATGCCACCACACAGGGACTTCATGAACTGAAACACGCTCCGGGGGGCCAGCGGGGGCCCACACGACCAACCCACCCCGGGGGGGTCCCAGACCCAGAGTCTTGAAACAATGCCAGGCGCCTGGGGGCGTGCCCAAACTCCTGACACGAGAGAAAGGGAGAAGGTGCCACGGTGACCGGCCCTCTCCGCGTCTTTCTGGTGAGCGTACGTGCCCTGTCAGATCAACACAGAAAAGCCCCGGACAGAGAAAGCGCCCGGTTTCACGACTCCCAACCAGACAGCGGGAGGTGCAGCCAGTGCTCGCCAAGGGCCGGAAGGTGTCATGGCTGCCGGCTTCACAGGGGCCACCCAAAGCTGTCTGGGGGTGGCTGAGTGATCGCAGGATGGGTAGGGACAGCCAGGCCAGCACCTGTCAGCCACAGCTCCCAGCACATGCCTAGCCTTTCCCAAAGCACTTGGGCGACTTCAGGGAGCTGCACGGAACCAGCAAGCAGTCCTGCTAGCCGCGTGTCACCCTTGGCAGCCGGAGGGCCAGCCCCTAGGCTGCCTTCCCAGGTAGGCTGACCTGCGTCAGGTGGGGACCACACCCAACCTGCATCCAGGCTGTGCCCGCCAGGCCTCTGCCTGGGCAGCCATGGTCTGCTCACCGCCCGTGGGCGGGTGTCACCCAGTGTGTACCAGGGACGCTTGGATGGAGGGGTCGGGGGAAAGCCAGTGTGGACATACTGCCACCCCCACCTGTCCACACGTCCCCTCTCCTGCAGTGTCCCCCTCCCACAGGAACCTAAGAAAGCTGGGGGTCCGCGGGAGAGTCCGCTTGCGTCACGCTGCGTCCCTCACCAAAGCCACGAAGCAGGAGCTGGCAGGGCCAGTCCCCTCCTGTGCTCAGCCAAGCCTCTCCCATGGTCCTCCTTCACACCTGGAAACACCGCCCACACTTCTGGGCCTCAGGCGGGTGCCACTCTGATGCGGGCCACTCAAGGCCCCAGAGTGGAGGGCTCTGCCTTCACAATGTGACAGGGCTGGTCCTGCCCCAGTCCCAGCCCACAGTTCCTAATGCCAGGCTGCCCGCTCCACCCAAGGACTGGGGGTGTTATATTCTACGACCCGGTGATGACAAATTCTCATTCAGGCAAGGTCCCCCTCCCCCGCCAGCCCAGTGTAGACAGACAGCCTGGGCAGCCCAGGAGGATGATCGGACAGTGCTCGGCAGGGGGCAGAACCGGCCCACACCATCGCCCAACTCCCCCGGCCTGTCCCTGCCTCTGGAGTCACTCCGCACCTCCCTCTCAGCCCCCACAGACCCGTCCAGCCTTCCCCAGCTTCCATCTGCGGGAACACCTCTCTCCACGGCCCCCAGGAGTCCCCGAGGCCCCAGCAGGCAGGAAGGTGGGCTTGTCTCTGACAACACTGGAGGCAGCACGATGAGGTTGCTGTCTGAAGATGCTGCCGAGCTGGGTAACGGCCCCCAGCACCCCCAGAAGGCACAGCTGATGCTCTGCTCACTGTCCCCCATCCTCTACCCAAGGGCCCTCAAGTACCCCTCTCTTGCACTCTGCACAGCGGCAAGCTGCCCGGTCTTCTGGAAGCGAGTTGGAGGACAGAGAGGATCCTGTTCACGGCAACCAACAGGGCCATCTTCCTGAGAGCCCACCCCTCAGGAAGGAGTGCCCACGTGCCCGGCCACGCAAGGACGGCCAACTTTCCAGCACCCCGAGAATGAGGACCTTGAGGACGAGGAGGGCACAGGCCATGCCCAGTCTCCAGGCTCAGGGCTACTCCCCTGACCACCAACGCCCTCCAACGTGGAGGGTGGCCCTGTCCGTGGGACCCCTCCCGACAACCACAGCCCAGCTCAGGGACAACCCTCCTCTCCGCTGGTTCCTGGGAGGCCCAGCCTCCACTCCAGGACACGGGCTCTCGAGGGCTCCCCGAGCCAGGCAGCACTTGCCGGGAGGGGCAGTGCAGAGGGAGGGTCTGGGCTCCAGACCCCACCTCACTGCTCAGAACTGCCGCAGCCCCGCCTGAGCAGACGGTGAGGGTGCCTGCTCCCGAGAGCCAGGAGCGTGATGTGAGGCCACACCCGGATGGCCGAGCAGGAGCTCCAGGGGCACAGGGTAGCTGTGGCTAGAGCGGGGGCAGACCAAAGGTGCGATATGGCATGCCCACTGTCCTGACATGGGGCCCTCAGGCCACGCTGCTCGCGGCCCAGCAAGGCCAGCTGCCACCTGGAGGAAGTGCCTGCACAGCCCGGCCCATCAGCAGATGCGAGTGGCCAACGCGGACTGGGAACCCGAGCGTGGAGTGGCCAGCCCTGCCTCGGTCTACCCTCTGTCAAACAGAAGGGCCAGGTGTCTCTCCACACTCCCGAAGAACAAGCCTAGCCATGCACAGCCTTGTTTTCCAACTTGCCAGAGGGCAGGGATGCTCTCTAGGGAAAGGGAGGGGGAGACAGAGACAGAGACAAAGAGAAACGTGAGGAATCAGCCTGGGGGATGGGCACACTGCAACACCTTCCCCTCATTTGCCTCTCGGGATTTGGGGCACGCACGCACACACGCTGGCACGCCCAGGTCTGGGACTCTAACTGTACAGCCAGCCATGTGGGATCCAGCGCCTTAATCCCCACGCCCGGCTGGCCCAAGCCATGTGAGTTGCATGCTGTTTCTGAAGGCCTCCTGGCCAGGCGTGGGGAGCCCGTGTGGAGAAAGTGGCCGTGGCAGGCACCGGGGGGGAAGCTGGCCCGACCACAGGTACGCTGAAATCCTACAGCAGTGCTGTCACTGCGGGGCCGTGGCTGTACCCACCCAGGACACAGGAAGCCACAGACAGACACTCCCAGGAGAGCAGAGGCCTGGGCCTTGGGGCTAGGCTGATGGACGAAACCCCAGGCCTGGCACTGACCCCCCTAATGACCTCCCAAGGGGAGGGGGAGGTGGGTGGGCCTGCACGAGGGGCACGTCTGCAAGCACCCCATCCCCGGGGCTGGCCAGAGCCTCACCAGTCACTGACCCCTGAACGGAAGAAAACGCAGCCCAGCTCATGACAGAAGCCACCAGCATGGAGCCTGACCCTGGAGCCCCAGAGGAGGGGACCGAGGTCCTTCAGCCACCACCACCCACTAGCCCTTGTCCTTGGGCTGACCCTGGCCTCTCCAGCCACCCAGCCAGCCTGGGCTTCGGCCAGCTTCACCGCTGGGCTGGGCATGCAGGGGACCATCGGTGGGTCAGAGCCCTAAGACGGTGCCACTGTGGTTCCCACTGAGCGTCCCCACCCTGGTGGGACGCACAGGAAGCCAAGGTGTGGAGGGGCCGTCTCAGCCAAGCTCACAGCTCCTGGGCAATGAGGCTGGGGTTCCAACCCTGCAGTCTGGCCGTGGTCCCCAGGAGCCGCCACCTCACCTATGCCTCACAACCCACGACAGTGTGGGTGGAGAGGGACCAGGGACACCGTGCCAAGCGCTCCGGGAGGAGGCCCAAGAGGAAGCACACCAAGGGCCATCGTGGGATTGCCTGAGGGAGGCCGGGGGTGCGGTGCCAAGCTCGGAGCCGAGGAGAGGTGCGAGGGGGATGCTGCCCAGAACTGAAGGGGGAGCCAGGCTTCCGAGTGCCGGGACACGCTGGGCAGGGCACCCGTGGCAGCCCCCACACGTGGCCCACAGAGCCCAGTGCCTTCAGCACTCCACGGCTCCATGTCAAGCCCAAACACAGCAGACACCGCGGCCCTGCCGACCTGCCCAGCCCGAGGTCGGCTCCAGCCCTCAGGCTTCCTGGTCTGCCTGGCCACACGCCATCGGGACAGCCTTCACTGCCTTGGCTCTCCCACCGCACCCTGGGTGTTTAGACCACTGGGGTAGGGCAGGCCCAGCTGGGGCTCTGAACTGGGAGCTCTGGGGCCGGGAGCCCCTGGAACGCAAGGCAGACCAGGGTGGAAGCATCTCCCGGTGGGGTGCTCGGCCCCCCGAAAGATGTCTGTGCCCACTGTAGCAGGGTCACTTGCTTCAGGTTCGAGGAACACATGACCCGGTTAAGGACCTCGCAAAGGGAGATCATGCCAACACAAGCACCAAGAGGGAACAGGAGGGTCCCCCCGCAGCTTCCAGAGCATGCCACACTGCCCACGGCCAACCGTGTGGCTACAAGAGGGTGCCCCGACCCCCGCAGCTCCTAGAGCACGCCACACTGCCCAAGGCCATCTCTGAGTGGCTAGAAGAGGGTCCCCTCCCCGCAGCTTCCAGAGCACACCACACTGCCCATGCACACCCCTGTGTGGCACAAGAGGGTCCCCCCCGCCTCCTGCAGCTTCTAGAGCACGCCACGCTGCCCACGGACATCACTGTGTGGCACAAGAAGGTCTCCCCTGCCCCCTGCAGCTTCTAGAGCACACCACGCTACCCATGCACATCCCTGTGTGGCTACAAGAGGGTCCCCCACAGCTCCCAGAGCACGCCACACTGCCCACAGCCCGTCCCTGTATGGCCGCTGTCCCCCATTTTTCTCAGGGACTGCATCACTGCCAGGCTCCTAAACGGGCCAGGTTGGACCCCTTGGGGACACGAGACAGTGGCCACCAGGGCCAGAGGTGGGAGGCAGCACCACAGGCCCTGTCCGCTTCTGTGTCCCTCGCCTCCCAGGAGGGACCTGCACTCAGGACGAGGTCCTTCGAAGTCCCTTACAGCAGAGGTGGTGGCTCCGAGGGCAACTGCCTGGCCCGGGCCTCCATGTATGGCAATGCCTACTGAAGGAGCTGAGCTCCATGGAGCAGCCACGGGCAGCTCACAGGCCCTGGGGCAGCCCCCGCAGCCACGCGCGCCCACCCCTACCCCTCGGACGGCCCCTTCACAGCTCAGGAGGGCAGGGAGACCGAGGCCTTCCCCGAGCCTGCCTGCCTGGTGCCCTCCACGGCCCCAGCCCACAGCCCGCCACTCACCTGCCCGCAGCAGGATGACCTGGTCGTCCAGGGGCAGCTCCGAGAAGTGCGGGACCCGCTTGGCCCACTCCACAAGGGTGAACAGCTGCTTATCCGCCGCCTGGCAAATGTTGGTGACGGGGTCGTTCGGCTACGGTGAAGGAGAGGTTCCCTGAGCGCTTCCTAGGACGTGGCAAGGGCAGGCCCCCCCACGGCTCCAGGAGGGGCAGGCCGAGCGACAGCCCCAAGGATGTGTCCCCAGACTGCAGTGTCCACCCTTGTATGGCAAAGGGGCCTCTGTGGAGGTGACTTGGCCCAGAGGAGAGAGATGGGACAGTCAAGTGGGCAGCGTAACTCAGGGATCCTCATGGGGGGTGAGAGGGGTCACCCAGGAGGGAAGATGGACGAAGTGGCCATGAGCCGAGGAACTTGGCAGCCTCAAGAAGTCTGGAGTAGGCGCAGATGCAGACGGGACGAGGACCAGGCAGGGGGTCTAAGGGGCCAGAGAGCCCAGAAGGGGGCAGCACTGGCCCAGCAGGGCTAGGTCTGGAGGAGGCCAGCTAGGGAGGGCTGGGAGGAGCCAGCGCGCCTGCTCGGGGGGCTCTGCTGTGGCTCAGGGGAGACCTCAGCCCTCACCGTCTCTGAGCCTCCCGCCCTCACTTAGAGCAGAGCAGAGAAGCGCACACCCCTGCAGAGAGAAGTGGCAGCAGGCCCCACCAGGCCACCGCGGCCCTGCCCAGTGCCTGGCAGAAACGGGCAGTTATGCCCCGAGGCTGGGTAAGCCATGCTCCCTGACCTGTTAGCCGCCTGAGGGGAGCCCAATGCGTCCTTCCCTGCGGGGACCCGGGGCAACTGCAAGGGGCACGGGCCTGAGGTCACACAAGGCACGGGGTGATGCTGTCTTCGCATTCTGCTCCTTCCTGTTGCGCCCACAGGTCGGTGCAGGGTGCAGGTAATGTCCGAGCCCAGCAACCCTCCAGGGGTCTCCCAAGCCAGAACGGCACGCAGGCCACGTGGGGGCAGGAGCCAACCCCTGGACACGAGCCAAACCAGGAGGGCCGCTTGCAGCGTCCCAGACAGGACAGGAGTGCAGGCCACACAGATCCCCGGGGGAGAGGCCAACAAACGTAGCCGTGGACCCCCAGGGTCATCACTGCCTAGGGAGGGGAAGCGAAGGAGGGACCCCCAGGGAACCAAGGCACGTGGGCTGTCACCCCCCCCTCAAGGGCAGGGGCTCACCGAGCTGGGGCTCAGCCCCATGTTGGCCTCCACATAGGTGTCGGTCTTGGGCTCCACTGCCAGCTCGGCCTCCAGGATCTTCTCCACGGGCATGTCCTCGTTGGCGCTGGAGGTGGGCTCCACCTCGCTCTCGTTCCGATCCTTGCCCCGCTGCCGCTCCTCCTGCACGGCTACAACGAGGAGGCGCCGTCGGCACAGCCAGCCCCCAGGCCATGAGTGAGCCAGCACCCCCACACCGGCATCCCACTGGGGCCAGGAGGGAAGGTGTTGTTCAGAGCTGGCCAGTCCTGGCCCTGTCTGCCCCGAGAACACAGCCTGTCTCTTCTGAATACCCCAAACCAATGCTCACACCAGGTTCCTGCCTGGGTCGGGTCGAGACAGACAGCTCAGGCTTCTCAGAGCTGATGTTCAGCA